ATTGAAGTTTTTGGTGATACTGATAAGACAAATAAATATGGTATTTTGGGGGAGAAGGAGAAAGGTGTAAATACTTTGACCAAGAACAGAATGTTAGAAAAGGAACCATGGTCTCGCAGTCCTAATAGCGTGTTTACCACTTCAGCTGGTAATGACTCGCACAAAGAAATAGCAAACATGGCTTCTGATGATACCAGGATGTCAAGCCATGATCTTGAAACTGGAAAAATAGATTCAGTTGGAAGTGACTTTTGTTCTGATGATCCTCTCTTGGTTGACAAGTGTGCTCCAGAAGACAACAATGATTACCGTTTTCCACTAAATCACATAACTGCAACTGATGACGATCTCAGATTTTCTATTAATAACCACGACTACAAAGAAAATGGTCATCTCTTATACTTTGGCTTGGGAGACATAGGGAATTTTGAGGATGTTGACAGGATGTTCAGGTAGTTCTTGAAATCCCACCATTCATTATCCATGCTATGCTTTACCATGTAAAATCTGACTAGTAGCTTCAGTAGGACCACCCATTTTTGGTATAACTTGAGTATCTACATGCACCCCATATGGATGTATGAATGCGTGTAAGTTTACGAAGTAGTGCTAATTTGAGTAAACATTTGGGTTGTGATTCAACATACATGTACATGCAACCCACAAGGAAAAAAATACGTGAAGTAACTCAACCTTCCATATTTTTTTTTTGCAGAAGTTGTGATTCAACATTTGGGATGGAGAGTTTTTGTGATGAAGATGATTTGTACTGGTTTTCTTCTTCCCAACTGGCTGAAGGATCTCAAGATGCTTTGAAGGCTGATGCTAAACTGAATAGTATACAAGAGTACTGTTCAACTTCTAGGCCAGCAAGTGCAGGTCTGTCAACATTTGACTAAAAAAAAAAACATATTACTGAATGACAATTTAACATCTGTTAATATTATAGGTGATAATGCTGGTCTTGCTCACACGCCTTCTTTACATATAGCCAATAAAGAATCTGAAAGTAAGGATGACTCGACACCCAGTGAGCAGGTTAGAAAATCTTGTTTCTTCTCTCTATTTCATATTTTTTATGAATATTTAATTATTTGGTTTTCATCACCTTGAACTTATAGGCCTTTTTCCTTCTCAATATGAATTTAATGCTACAATAGATTTAGTGCTCGTTTATAATTTGATTTGGATAACAGTCAATATGATCCACTCTTAAGCTGGTTCAGAATGAAAGATTCTTTGTTATAAGCTTTCCTGAATATATTGTTTGCTATGTGGAATTTTCATCATGTCGTCTTATTTCATTACCAAATTACAGATCAGTCCACACGAAAAGCTTTCAAAACGTCATACAGTGTCTGGAGGAAGAAATGATCAATATCTGGAAAATGGTGGTTCGTTTACTCAATATGGTAGCAGCAAGCAATTTTCAGATGTGAAGCACCCCATGACCAATTCATCCTATCAACTCTTATCCTCTTCAGATCTTCAGCAGAACCTTGGACCTGATTCTGTGAATTACATAGAGACAGATATTCCTTATATGCTTCCCAGCTGCATAAATTCTTCGAATCAAGTTTCAATCTTTCCAACTATGGCTAGTGCCAAATCTGAAAATAATGGCCATTCTTATTCGAAAATCAAGTTATCTCACACGTCAAACCAGGTACAGTCTATGGAGAGTTCTCATGGTCCTTTATTTGAGGTTCCTTTGATAATAACAAGTGAGGAGAAGGGAAAGCTATATTGCCAACAAGATACACAAATCCCACTTAATGGGACTGCCAAACATGCAAAAATGGGAAGTGAGATAGCAATTTGTGATCCAATTACTATTCTAAACCAGGTACAACAGGATGTGTGTCATAGTGAAGTTGAAGGTGTTAGTGTAGTAAATCCAGCTGAATTAGATTCTTCATATGCAAGGGAAAGCTCTTGTGTAATTTCTCCTTTGGACAAAGTCTCACTAGAGGCAACTAGTTTTCGGCAGCTTCAACAAGTCATGGAAAAGGTAGTATATGCAAAGGTTTTCTTATGTGCAAGTGCGCTTGTTCTCTTGGCTAATCCATAAACATGGTATTGATCTAATCAAAATGTTTGAAATTTCAGCTGGACATCAGGACAAAGCTGTGCATACGGGATAGTCTGTATCGTTTGGCTAGGAGTGCTGAACAAAGGCACAATTGCTCAAAACCAAAAGGTGGCATCCGGGATGATAAAGATGAAGATGCGAGTGGTTCATCAGTGGCCGAGGAAACAAGCAAGTATGTTTCGCTACTAGAATCGTGGATTTCTTAGTACTTCTTTATATCACTGATACTTAAACTAGTACATAAGATAGTTAATGGTGGTGTACAGGGAAGGGTTTAATTTGTCTATTTGAAATTGACATGAACCTAAGAAATATTTATGAATAAAAGGGGGTCAAGAGTTTAATGTGATTAATTTTAAAATTGACTGAGATCTAAGAAATATTTGAACTTAAAAAATGAGGGGGTGGATAGGGCTTAGTTTGTCTAATTTCAAAATTGACTGGGACCTAAGAAATAGTTAAACCTAAAAAGTCGGGTCCAAGCTTGATTTTTTCTAGTTTCAAAACGACCAAGGACTTGAGAAGTAATTGAATCAATTTTTATCTAGGGGGAGGAAGGAAGGCTTAATTTGCCTATTTGCAAAACTAGCAGGGACCTAAGAAGTTATTGAACCCAAAATAATTCATAATTCTAAATGTTTGTTTCATCCAGGTGCACTGGGTTTTTGGATATGGAAACTGACACAAACCCTATAGATAGATCCATAGCACACTTACTATTCCACAGGCCCTCAGATCCATCTCAAAGGCCGGTTATCGATGCTGCATCGTCGAAGTCTCATTGTCATGGTAAGCATTCTTTTATCGCCCATCCTTTTTTCTTTCCGTGAACTCAAAGAAAGTTCATACCCCATAACGGATCGTAATGGCAGATTCATGACTCTATCACGGATCCACTTCCAGTGTTATCTGAAGAACAAGTTGGAGGTGATGAAACGATGCTGCCGGTTAAGATAAAAAAAGCGCCAACAAACTGTGACGGCAGTTAATCTTTGTAAAATTTAATCTATATGCTCATGATCATGTATAATGGTGATCGCTGTGAGTCCGGCATCGACATAAGTTGCAGGTTCGTCCCCTATTTTAGATTTTTTTTCTTAGACACACCATGGTCTTTTGATATCCTTTGTAACGGTTTGTGATAAACTGCCCATTCGCTTATCTTCTCTCTCATTAGTACTTCAAAAATATATCTGTTTTCTTTTCACAAAATATTCAGCCATATTTCCATTAATTTCCCTTTTTTAATTTGGCTCAATACCCATTGGATCTTTTAATATGCAGTAACTTTTACTTTAGTCCACTTTGGTCCCTTTACTTTCGTTCCTTTCATCACTTTAGTCCTTCGTGGTTTTCGTTAAAAACATATGTAAACTAATGAGACATTGTTGCCATGTGTAAAAATAAGTAAAACTAAAACTCGTAAAAAATCAATTAAAAATTCAAAAGATTAAAATTATATGCTCTACCGATTTTATGAATTTTAATCTAAGAGACAAGTTTAAATATGGTTATGTTTTTTAAAATATAATTTCTAAAACTGAGTTCTGAAATTTTTCTGGATACTTTTATATTTTAAAAATTTTAAGTTTTTGTATTATTTTAATTATTTAATTTTTTATTTTAATTTTTTTACATGAGGCTTATTGGGTTACTATCTTTGGAATATGATAGGATTAGATGCTCAAGTGATTAAGAGTTGTAAAAGAATTAGAGTCGTAAATGGGACGATACAGATTGTGAGTTACTTGAGATCGATTCTATTAAAGTTTGATAAATATTCGATTTGAATGACTCAAGCTTAAGTTCAATTCGAAATCTTAACGAGTTAATGTGAGCTATTTGATATTTGATTCGAAAAGTTCGCAACTTGAAAATATAATATGCTAATATTTTATTTTTTAAAAATAAATTATTAATAATATTAACATTTATGTGTTGAATTTTTAATAAAATGTAATATATAATTTTCGTATATTTAAAGTTCAAGTTTGAAGTTTTAATTTAGTTAAGTTTTTTTTTTTCACTTTGAACTTCAATTTATGATTCTGAGTTTTTAGTTACTTTTAAAATTTTAGGTTTGCGAGTTTTCAACGTTTTATTTCAAAGTTTTCGAGTTGAGTTGAATTTAATAATACTTGAGCTCGACTTGGCTCGTTTACCGCCCTAAAAAGGATTAAAGTTAAATTTTCAAAAACACAAAAAAAACGCGTAAAATAAATATTAAATCTTTTAATTAAAAGTCATACATTGGAACAATTTAAAACTGTATCGTGCGAGTGATTATGTTAAAGAATCATCCGTCGTATATAAAATAAAATTGGATGAATACATTTAGTATTTAAGCTATTAGTTTTGATTCATTTTAGTATCTAAACTTTTATTTTTTTTAAATCTAACATGTAGTTTTCATTTCATTTTAATACTTATTGTTATAAATTTAACGCGTTTAGTATCTAAACTATTAGTTTTAGTACTTAAATTTTTTATTTTTTCCCGAAATTTAACGTTAAGTTTTGAATGGAATACTAAAATAAAATCAAAAAGTTAAATTTTAGATACGATTTTAAAAAGTTAAAAGTTTAAGTGCTAAAACTAATTAAAACCAACAGTTTAAATACCAAACGCGGACAATAAAATTTGATTCGTGACATCAATTATCAATGAACAAGCAAATGAAAAATAAACAAATAATTCCTTTATTTTTTAGGGTAAACTTATCCAAGGGTTGGTCGCTTTGTACGGTGATTTTTAATTCGAATCAGTTCAACTCGGTCCATCCAGCAACCCAAATCCCTAGGAAAGAATCTTGAAAAATTCCTTAGGTGTGAAACCTTTACTTGCAAAATCCAGATACTAATTTCACATAAGCAACTGCTTGTCTTACACTTATTCCTCATGCACCAAGTCCCTAAAATCTCACCTCAACTGAGAAAAACAAGTAAAACACAGTACATAGATTAAGCATTCTTGGTCGGCTATGATACATAACATTCCCAAATTATGCTCAATGTACCTAGAACAACATTCATCAATGAATTTAAAGTTTGCGGACACGGATATTGCATGGACTTTATCAGTTACATAACCCTCTCAACCCGAGAACACCAACATTTTCCGAGGTGCAAGTCAAGAATATCCGACTAGTCAAATTGCTGCCTGAGTTGCATCTCTGTCTCACTCTTCCAGGTTGCATGTGATGACTGGCCCCTCATTCTCTTACTTTTCTCTTTATCTTTGATAGCAGACCCCTTCTTCTTGGAATCTTTGTCGGCATCTGCAAGAGGACGGTCACCACAAACCGGACAGACCATTCCTCTAGCACTGGAGTATGTCTTCGGAACCCCACATTGTAGGCACACCCTATAAACAAAATATTGATTTGGTTAAGATGACACGACAACAAAAATTATATAAAAAACTTGTTTATGTGCAGTGCATCTCATATTTAGACTGAAGCCGGTTATAAATCTATAACCAGAAAGAAAGAATGGAAAACGACTGTTCTGAATTTATGCTGCAAACAATTACGATGTACCTCAAGAGTTCTGCAGCATCTTCTGCATTTGGATTTGTTGCAGTTGCGACTCGCTTTGTTCCATCCTGTTTGGTGTTTGGAACTGCTGAAGCAGGAGGCTTGCTACCCTCAATATCACTTCTCACTCGATCATGGATTCCAACAAGCTGAGGTTTTGCTTCTACCACGGCACCTTTAAACAACCAACAAAACCGAAACCCAATTACTCATACAACGGAAATGACAATTAGGTTATAGGTCGATAAACCCCCAATATCAAACATCAATAATGTAACCATACTGTAAAATCTGAAGACAAATGACCAGCCAAGGGCAAAGTGCCTTGATGACTGGAGAAGGGTATGGTTTAAACTTCAAAATTCTTGAAGAAATATCACTTAAAGTTACAAGAACTAAAAGTAGCATACGCGTTTGAAGCTATTCAACAGAATTGAGCATTCGGAAACCCAATAAATAAATCCATCAACATTGTTCCTTGCCGGAACTGCAAAATATAGCACCAACTGTGAACATTTCAATAGAAGCATAGTCCAAAAGCCTACTCCATGCACCAAAAGAAACAGAGCTAATACGAAACTTTGCTCTTCTACTCTCAAGGTTCTACTTTCTTCCTCAAGCAGCTATTCCACCATATTTAAATCAAATACGGCCAATAATCAATTTAAGAAATGCCAAAAGTTCTAACTTGACAAAATAAACACAAAAAATGTAGACCGTCTGAGCCCATGTCTTGACTAAAGAATCTGTATAATGAACTTTGAAATTGGAAAAATGAGAGAATACCAGAAGGCATATCATTCTTATCTTTGAATTCCCTCCGGCCACCGCGCCTTCCTTGCTGTTGGGCAGAGTCACTTACTGAACCCAGTTCCTCGACTGCATGGTTTAGGTACGCCGGTGGCCCTGAAACCTCCAGAAACCAACAAGAGAACAAATACCCTTACAATATCAGAAAACCCTAATTCCACATCACCTCAAAAAACCCTAATTCCATATAAAAAAAACCTTTTTGATCTAATTTCAATCGGTGAGCAAGAAATAGCATTACTTAGAAAGATTTGAATTGTATTTCACAAAAAGCAGGAACTTAATTTTAGTTCAAATTTCACAAATTTCCTACATATTATTAGCTCAAGGGTTTCTTGCCAATATATATAGGAAGAAAGAAATTAAAAAAAATCATACCTGCGAAAAAGCGTCGAATGCGGAAGGGAGTGCGGATTTACGGGAGGGATCGGGGAAATCGAAGACGGAGGAGTCGTACCGCTTGGGAGCGTCGGAATGGGTTTTACCACCGATGCCGTCTTCACCGCCATCTTCTTCGGAGGATTCGCCGTAATGAATACGGTCAGGCTCAGCCGATTCTTCATCTTCCGCCGAAGAATAGCCTTGAAGGAGAGACAAGCTCATTCCCCTCTTTCTCGTATCTGGGCTTCGATGATGTACGGATGTTTCTTCATCCCAGTTGCTTTCTACGACTTTATAGTTTTATATTTGGGTAAATATAGTTTTTGGTACTCAAACTTCAATTGAATGTTCAATTTGATACATATTATTTTTGTCCAAATTGATACTTGTACTTTTCTAAAAGGTTAAAATAGTACAAACAATTTTTTTTGAACTAATAGATAAAATGAACTTGTTGCTTATCGTGTTCTTTAGACAATATCACTATAATTTGGATTTTGATATCATTATAATCGTATTCATGCATAAAAGCATATGTACATTCGAAACCGAGAAAATCGAAAAATCAATACAAACCGAGTAAAATGGTTCGGTTCGGTTTTTGGTTCGGTTTAAAGGTTTTATTTTTTTGATTCGGTTTGGTTCGGGTTTTTCATATGGAGCCCATTTGTTCCATATTGAACCGAATAGGTAATTTTTGTAAAAAAAAAATTATAGTTTCAAGTGATTTTTTCATTGAAAAACCGATAAACCGAACCGAACTGAAAAACTCGAACCGTTAAAAAAACCGAACCAACCCGAAAAAACCGCTTTCGATTTTTTCGATTTTTTAACTATTCGGTTTCGGTTTAAATATTGAAAAACCGTTTATTTCGATTCTATTCAATTTTTAGGAAAAACCCGAACTGAACCGAACCGAACCGAATACACCTCTAATGTATACAATAAAAAGTCCATGCTTGACCTATGAAGATACCCACCACGGCTGTTATGGCCCAACTTTCCTGTACCATTTGAGGAAAGTTGGGTCCTTGCCTAAACCTAGTGGGTCAAATCCGTAATATCCTTGATGCTGTCCACTCAAACACATGCACGGCTCAAATCCTATTGTTTTTTATGATTCTTGAAAGGATCAAACCATAATTCTACCATTTAAGGGTCAAAGCCCCTTGATGCTGCCCCACGAGTTGAGCTTGATCTTGAGTAACTCTTACTATTGAAACGGTTGGAACATGAAAAATAAGAGAACCGATAATGTTATGTTCGGTATCAACCGATCATTTTGATTCACGACATAAGAGCTATTGATATTTTATTTTCAAATATGGAACCTAAACATCCCCACATAAAGCCTAATTTGGTGGAATGAACGGTGGGCGGCTTACAAATTGATGTTTCCCACCAAAATCATAGCCATGTTGGAAGAGAAATGGGTGTACAAATTTTCTTTTTCTTTTTTTTCTCCTCCTAGTTTTAGGATTTGACTATGATTAATCCGGACCGACCTGCTTCGCTTTGATAGGTGAGTCTCTTAACGAGAATTTTATGCATACATAAAATCTCGAACTTGATACCTTACTCAAGCGATATCAAACTACTTATTACTTTATTAAGTCTTCATTGATTACAGATTTTCAAATTTTAAACTACTACAAGAAAATATACCTTTAATGACACACGCTAATTTATGACTTACAAAATAGGTGTGTCATTAAAAAAATGTCATGTTTCTTAAAATATGAACGATTTATGACTTACAATAATGTGTGTCATATTTAATAGTCATAATCCAAAAAATTTGTAAAATCACGGAGTACACTTTTAATTGTGTGTCATCTGTAAAAGTCGTATTTTAATTTTTCCCCCCATTATTTTCATCATTTCCCGCTTCCCTTTGTTGCTCTATAAAATTAAGCATTCAAACGACAGAAACTAGATGGAGGAAAATCTAGACAGGCACTTTTATGCTCTTCTCCTCAACATGTTTTAGCTTATGTGATTTGTAACTTTTATCTGAAGTTTTGTCTCTTTGTTGCTTCCCTTTGTACCTTAGCTTATGTGATTTGTAATCTTCTGGCACCATTCGTTTCAATGGCAGAAATGATGAGAAATGATCAGACTTCACCAGATATTCAGGTCAACACATTTTTCTCTCCTGAATTTTGTATTAGTTTCATGCTTTACTTCTTCAAGTTATAATATGTTCTGTCTGGAATTTTTTAGACAGAGCTCTTGCTCTCTTTTTCTGAAGCTGCTAAAGAATGCACAAAGGATCTATGTTTTGATGCATTTGTTCCTTGTGATTCTTGTGGTAAGCAGAGTAAAAAGATTGCTTGAATTATGACACATTCAAGAATCTTACAAGCACAAATATAGTAAATTAAATATAGTAAATTACATGCGTTAATGCCCTTCTACTTCTTAATTTATGTTTGTCCAAAATTGTTCTGTATTCTTGATGCTAATATTTTATAGCATTATGTTAAATGTATTTCTCTAATCTTTCCATTTTTGTGAAGGATTTCTTCCTCCGGTTTTTATATATGTAGTTTTTTCACGCCTTGTTTATTTCTTAATGCAGATGGGTGTGGCTATCCACCAAATGCCAAAGTTAAAGTTTGTCCAATTTACAGGGGCAAAGGGACTGTGAGTTTATAAATCCTCCCAAACGGGTTCACTTTTTGAAGAGAATACATGTTACCTTTTATTTATTATACTTTATTGACTCTTTAACTCTTAACAAGGTTACAATTCCTCCTTTTACATCAACATGCAACACTTGTAATAGATTGGGACGAATAATCAAGGTCTGGTTTCATTTTCAACAAAACCACAATTTTCTTTTACTTGTATATCATATTAACAATTAACATGGTTTTACATATATGATTCAGGAATACTATATATCATGCCAAGGATCCGGGGTTGTTGAAGGTGTTAAGGAAGTTAAAGTTACAATACCTGCAAGTAGATATTAGCTGCTTTTCTTTGACAAAAAACTTTTTCAAGTTCAGAAGATTTGAGACGTAGCTTTGATTCTTAGCAGTTCATATAAAGAAAGGGTTTCACAGGAATTCCTCATATGGTTTATCATATAGCCTTGAGATCAAATCCGTAGCTCCTTTTTTTTCTCTCCCCTCCTATGGTTGTTTTTTCAGATCTTAGAGTGTTATTTCTCTCTCTTTTTCATTTTTTTTTATTTTCCCGTTTCCTTTTCCTAATTTTTTATTACAATGCTTCGTTAGTAATACAGTTTTATGTAATTTACCCATCTTTATGAAAGTATTACTTTTAGTTTCTGCATTTTGCATGGATGCATGAAATATCAAACTAGTTCTAGGATGTAACCTTTGTCTGCATAGGTGGATACTTGATTGTCACAAAGAATATGTAGCTTAAGATTGCAGCATTAATTTTATTGACTCCTTTGTATTTTTCTATAAAATGATTAGGTGTGGATTATGGAGATACAATACGTATACCAGAAGCTGGTAATATTAAGCGACAGGGAAATCAACCTAGTAACTTGTTTATTAGGATAAAGATGCAGTTCCTTCTATTGCCTTGTATCTTTAAGAAGCGCATTACTGAAAGTAGGTTATGTGCAACTGTAGATTCATTTCTGGTTTTGAAAATTTATGCTTATCAGTTTTGTTGCTCTACTTTTTCTTTGAGTTGGGATACATAATATCTTTTGAATATAGCTTTTCATTGCCAAATAATCTTATAGATTAGCTAACAGAATCCAAATATTTCTATCTGTAATGAATGTTTGAATCTCTTACAGGCAATTCTTGGTGGTGAAGTTGAGGTGCCTACATTGTCAGGGAAGGTTCAAGTGAAAGTAATTCTCTTGGTTTTATGCGACTCTTTTATTTATTTGTGCATTACACTTTGGTGAGAGTTACTAAAAGGAAAAAAAGAAAAAAAAGTGTGTAAATCTTTCTTTATTAGAGGGGGTTTTTCTAGTTATGCAAATGTAAGTACTAAATCTTTGAATGTCATTGGACATGAGCCTCAGTCTTGTCAAGAGTTGGGCCTATTAATGTGTAAAACCTGACTTGAATTTGTCATTTGATATAAGATAATCAGACCTTTTCTTTTTGGTCCACCATATAGAGATTTATTTTTCATTTATTAACTTTTAACAATCTACATGTATCATTGTATTCGGCAAAAACCATTTTGTGCTTTGAAATTATGGCGCTCTCATATACCAAAAGGATGCCAACATGGAGAACTTCTTGTTCTAAGAGGCAAAGGTATGTCTAATCAGTAATCATTCCCCTACTGTACCACCTCTCTCTATTTCTTTATGTTGCTTGAACATATTTTATTGTGTTATTCCTGCTACAAATGTACTTTCTTTGTGAGTTCTTGCAGGATTGCCAAAGCATGGTTTTCTACTATATCATAGAGATCAGTATGTCCGCTTCCGCGTTAATATGCCAACGTAAGCTTCCTTTAGCTTTTTCCTACTTACGTTATTGGTTGGGTGTTTCTAAATTTATTACTGATGATGTTAAGATATATAGGTATGTTCAGGATAGCATTGTACCAAATTAGTATATATGCTGTAACTTATCAAGTTATCATGTTAGGAACTAGGACGACTTATATCTCTGAAAGGTTTTCGTTGGCTCTTAACTTGAAGTATGGCTATTGCGTGTTGTTTCTACAGATCGGAAATTTTGGATTATCAAAGAATGCATATGTAAAATTGGTCATTTTGAAGATGTTTACTGCTTTGGGCATTTACTCAGAAAGTTTTGAGAAGCCTTTCCTGTAGTGCACATCCGAGTTTTATACAGCTGAAAGAATGAAATACATGCAACAATCAGATGTTCCAGATTACTTGAAGCATCTAGAGGTACCTCTTCATATTTCACTTTCTCAGTTAACAGTGATTGTTACTCTGTATTTTGAATTGTGCATGTTTTATCCTTCTAAAAAGAATGTTAAATTTGTCACATTATTCCATATATATGGAATTTGAATGTTTATCCCTCTACAATTTTTGTGTAAGTTTATGTAACTGTTTGTGTGTATTGATGCAGATGAGGTTACATGAAGAAAATGAAAGATGTTTACTCTACATGGATGCTATTACAAGAAAGCCACTTATAGCAACAGGAGAAGGGACACCGCAAAGAATACACGAATGATGACATTAATGATATTCGCAAACTTTATTATACCGTGATATTTTGTATCGACATATGATTACAATATTTTTGATAACTTAATGTGAATATGTTGTATACAAATGGATTGCTTATGTATAATATGATATATATTTAGTATTATGAGGCATTAAATGTGATTTAGTTTGATTATTTGTCAATCTACAATATATATATAAATATATATATATATATAATTCATGAAATACAATCACGACACACGAATGTGTGTCATTTTCATTTATGAAGGGGGCTTCAATGACACGCAATGTAAGTCATAAATGCGTGTCATAAATTTATGACACACAAATATGTGTCATCTTCATTTATGACGGGGGCTTCAATTACGCGCAATGTAAGTCATAAATTTGCGTCATAAATGCGTGTCATAAATGCGCGTCATAAATTTATGACGCACAGTTGAGCGTCATCTTAAATTCATGTCGATGACTTCAACGACAGGCAAAAGTGTGTCATCCGCACCCATAGATGACGCGCCCATAGATGACGTGCAATGTGCGTCATTAAAGGGGGTTTTTCTACTAATGAACCATCTTCAACCCAACCTCAATGATTGTTTGACTACAATATCCCATCATTACATCAAATCAAATATTGTTTCATGTTGCGTTTAAGGTTAAGAATTTGAATCATAATATATGAATAAAGTAAAGGTTTAATGCCAAAATAAGTACTCAAATTATACCTTAATTATTGAATAGGTGCCTAAACTATTTCTAACCCATCCAGGAACCTTACGTTATAAATATTACTAATTTTAGGTATCTGGACCATCAACGGCGTTAGTTTCCTCGTTAAGTGACACATTTTATAATCAGGTGATTTTAAAAATTTTATTTGAAAGTAAAAAATTAAAATTATATATTTTAAACAAACATAAACATTTTGAAATAACCCTAAAACTTTGAAAACCTTAATTTTAACTCCTAAACTCACATTGGTCGTAATCCTTTGTCGTTGACGAAGTTTCACTCGACCTTACCTCCCCCCGACGACCAAAACCCCCTTAAAATCATGACTGATCGACGATCAACGACGATGACAAATCGACATTTTATATCCCGCGAACCCTAAGATAAAAAATCGTGATCTCATATGATCTCAATGGCCAATCGACGACAACTACGATGGCTTATTACTAGGAGGATGACAGGGACTATGTAGGCGGCGATGGTCCTGGCTGGAGAGGGTGCCGGCGGCAGTGAGTTAAGGATATGATTTTGGGGCTTTTTATAATTTAAGAGAAATTATATATTTTTTGTAAATATTTAAAAAAATTAAAATCACCTGATTATGACACGTGTCACTTAACAGGGGAAATTAATGTCCTTGATGGCCCGAGCACCTAAAATGGTAATGTTTATAGCTTTAGATATATGGATGGGTCAAAAAGTAGTTTAGACACCTATTTGAGAATAGGGACAAAGCCAGAACTAGATCTCAACAAAGGTCAAATCTTTTTAAAAACTTTAAGTTAAATATAAATAATTTTACATTTATTATTTGTTTATTTCAAAAAATATAAATGATAACATCAAATATGCATAGTTCTATATTTATATGAAATAACAAATTAAAAATTAAATTAAAGTAAATAAATAAATGCGATTTTAAAAAGTGCAAAAGACATAACTATCACATAATCACAATAAAACACGTCATTCCTTCAAATCTTGAAATGCATCCACGAGCAATGTTGTACTAAAGGTCATTGCAATATCTCTTTAAATGTTGATAAGCATGCAACTCTCAAAAAAATTCATCCTCCATTTTGTCGCAAAGTGTTGTCTTGATGATATTCATTGTAGAAAAAGCTCTTTCAGCACTTGCTGTAGAAACTAGAGAGTCAATAGAAGTTTTACCGTTAAAAATATATATGGATAAGTATGAGAACAAGTAGTTACCAACAATGGAGTTGATGATTCAGAATGGTGTGAAGTTGAAGATCAATAAGACGAAAAAATAACAAGAATGAAAATATTTTACAAATGTCGTGATACTCCAAGTGTTCACATTTTAGACTTTATAATAGATGTTACGTGGTTAAGTTAACAAACAACCATAATACAAATTATTAACACATTACATCAATCACTAACACAAATATTTTCATTTATTGATAATTTTAGGTCAAATTATTTTGTTAATTTTCTGTGCTTAGTAATGAAATTTTTATGTTGATATTTTTTGACTTATTGTATAGTTTATGGTGGTCTTGTTAGTATAATGTATGTTTTGAAAACTACTGCTAGTTTCAGACTTGCATTTATCAACATGATTCATCCTGTCAAATCACTAGTTGTATGTCTCGTTACTTGTTAACCACTCGAATAAGTAGGAAAAGAATAAAAAAAATGTGTATAAATACAATCATTGCCACTCTTATTATTGGATGTTGTTTTATTGATTTTGGCCATAATTTAGTGATTTAGTAAGATTCAAAGATTATTAACATAAGTTCAAATTGCATAATTTTCATTCACTTAATGCAATGTTACTTCATGTAAAACATCAACTAAGTTCAAATAACAATTATTAACACACGAAAAATAAGTTTTCCTCTCTCAAATGCAAACACTTGGAGTATTAAAGCGTTCGTAAACCATTGACGTTCTTCTTGTTTCTTCATCTTGTTGATCTTCAACTTCACACCGTGATTTTACATCGTTGACTCCATTGTGGCAACTACTTATTCTTGTAGCGTTTCTAGCTTATTGTTTTGAGATACAAGCAGCGTTTCGCTCTCACGCATCACTTTTTGCCATGTAAAGTTATCCATCTCCAACTTCTTCAATAAGTTTTGAAGCTCTATTGTTTTGTTTGTTGCTTTTTGTATCTCTTGGTCTCTTTGATTAAGTAAAATAGATGCATTTGATTCCATTTGTATTAGCAATACTGTAATTTATTGTTTGTTGTTTTCTTGCGGTAACAATCTCAACTTTTCATCCTGAAAAAATGAAAATGAGAAAGTACATTTAAAAAAAATAAAAAAGTACATTTAAAAAAATGAAAAAGAAACAATTTTTTAAATCTCCACCATTTTTTATTTTATGAAGGAGAAGGTTTGAATATAGTGGAGGTGGTTGAGTATTTGGAAAAAAATTGAAATTAGAAAGTTTTGAGGGTAAATTAAATATAAAATCATTGTTCAATGACTTATTTGATGTTTTAACTATATTTTAGGGGCAATTCTTAACATTGCCACACCATCATTTGAATGGAGATGACAGTAGAGAGGCCATTTTGTACAAATTCATAACGTAGTGACCATTTTGTTATAAATCGATGACATTAGTGACCAATTTGTTACTTTTGAAACTATAGTAAGGAAAACAAAAATTTATCCAATGAGCATGTTCAAATGATAGACAAGCAGTAGCAGCGTTGATAACTGGTGGATTAACCGTTGACTGTTAATAAAAGTTGTTGTTGTGAAGGAATCATGCAAACTTACGACAATCTCGAACAATATGACCTGATAAATTACATAACTTGCACACAATATTATTCTGTCTAGAATGACATCCACCCTTCCCTCAAGAGTGGTTGGCTGAATAACCATGAGTCTGACTAGCTCGCTGTATAGACTTTGTTGTGACAAAAACTTTGGTTTGCTAAGATTATTGGATAAGACATTCATGGTCAGTAAAGATCTGAGACAACTCTAGCATTGTGGTTGGTGTGTTACGTACACGAAGAGTAGCAACCATTAGACTATAATCATCGCCTAATTGATTGACAATAGAAATCAACAAATCTGTATCAGAAACAAGACAATTTGCCATGGCAAGATCAGAGGCAATATCATGCATATCTTTCATGTAGTTGAAGATAGATATAGAACCACACGGGTTGAGAGCTAGTTTGGATTTAAGGACAAGAATAGGACCATGAGATGCACGAGCATAACTTTCAACTAGAGTATCTCACGCCATTTTAGAAGTGATAGAGGTTGAAATAAGAGGTTGGACTACATCATCACAACTGCCAAGAAGATCACTATAAGAATTTGATCTCGATGATACCATTGTAGATATTCATGATTAGCAAATTTTGTTGTAGCATCGGTAAATTGGGATGAAAAAGACTGCAAACCATCAATGTATCCGATGATCCCAAAATCAATGAGAGTGGCCTCCACTTGTCAACGCCGAACATGAAAGTTGACAGACATAAGTTTGATTGGAAAATTGGTTGGTGCATTGAGATGAACGATATGATATTCAGTTTGTGAGAGAGCGAAAAAAAATAAAGAAATTCTATTAGGATTTGTATTTGTAATAAATTGAAATTTACAAGTGATGGGTATATACATAATTACAAAAGTAAGGAAAGTTTAATGTATACGCAAGGTAAGATTTGTACAATGTATAATTAAATTAATTATAATTTGTAATTCATTAAATTAGATTAGATGAATAATCTAAATCTTTATCTTTGATACTCTTTTAACTTATTGATTTTTTTTTGAACTTATCCGATTAACATGTAATTATGGGACTCGTACAAACTTTGAAAGATGTTAACCATTTCCAAGGCCTATAATTGCATCTTTTTCCTAGCAAAATAAGTGTACTTGTGCTGAAAATCCAACACCTCCCAAACCAGATGCAACACCCCAAACTCCGGCCAAACCGTGTACACCGACGACAAATGACAGCAACAACTCTGCCACAAAAGGAAGTTGCTCAGCCGGCATTCCCCGCCGGTACGTATAATAATGTCGGGATCCGGTGCAACGGCCATATACATATGCTTCTCGATATCCGCCAACTTTACAACGGCACCATCGGTTCTTTCTCTGCACGATTCCTCGACGGCGTGCAAGATCTCGTCGGAGCAAGTGTAGGAAACGCAGATCGTCAACACCAAGTTAGAGTTGCTGGCGGTGTTTTCCATCAACTTGTTGGCCGCATTCCTCAGTTCTGTGCTTAAGAGTTGTAGGTTTCCGGCGAAATGAACCCTCAGGGAACAAAATTTCGACAATCTCGTTAATAAAGTGACGCTCTCCATCATCAGATCCATTATCTTCTTAACTTCCTCCGGGCTTCTCTTGAAGTTGTGGATGCTGAAAGCGTAGGCGGTGACATATTTGATCCCGAGCTCGTAGCAGTATACGAGCAGGTACAAGAGCGCCATCGCACCTACATGTGCCAATGTAAAATTTTATATTAAAGGATGAAAATAGATTATTAATAGCAGGGGTAAATGCTTGATCAAGTCGAAGTCAAAAAATTTCAAATTATTCGAGTTGAAAAATCTTATTTTATAACTCAAACTTGATTTAAAAATTTTCAAGTTTCGAGTCGAGTCAAGTCAAGTTTTTACGGGGTTTCTATTTAAATTTAATTGTAAATATTTATAATATTATGATATTATTTAATTCTAATTTAAACAGTTTTCTATAATCATATACAATACATATATATTTCTTCATATGTGATATACATGTATCATATAGAGTCAACGGACTCACTCGAACTTGAAAATTAATCCACTAACTACTAAAAATTTAGAGTTTTTAAGTTAATCGAGTTCTATTTTACAACTCGACTCAAATTCAAAATTCTTTTGAGTCGAGTTCATAAAATTACAACTCAATTCAAGTCGAGTAAAATTGAAAAAAAATTAGTTTTTGTGTCTAGTTTTATTCACTCCTAATTAATAGAAATATTAAAAACATACAATAATTTAAAAATTTTAAAGCGTAGGTTAATCGAAACCTGCATCATGGCCAGTTCCTTCTTCTAGCTTCTTCTTTTTGGCATACCTTCGGTTACCGTCCATGATAAGGGCAAGGTGAGATGGGATCGGACCGACTCGAACAACTCGAAATAGACATCTTCGTAAAATACTTGTCCATCCAGAAAAGATGCGTTGTAGGACATCTTCGCTCACCAACATATCAATTTTGTTTTCGAAGAGATTGAGGGATTTAGATGCTAAAAGAGTTGCAGAATTAGATATTTAACGTGATCATAAGCTTGTTCTTTTTATCAATTACGTGCATGCATGTTTTTGCAGCATTTTTGGAGCACGTTGGAAGCATGACAACTGATTAACAAAAGGATCAAATGACATGCAATTTTGTATGTTCCAGGAATTCCTATAACTAGAGTGGTTTAAATTATATGACAGTTGCTGCCATATTTCTCAGAACCGGAATCGGATATGAATGTGTTTAATCTTTCATGTATTAAAATGATTATTTGATATAGGAGATGGGTTTTAAGGAGGAACGAAATGTAAACGTTTTGATAGTGATTTTGCTGTAAAAGACTATCGATGATAGAAAATTATTGGTTGTCCGTGGTGATAAAAAAAGTGTAGTGTCAAAAATAAAACTGTTTAAAAGTGTATATACATAAGTTTAATATCTACGATGACATGTTTTAGGTATCAATAGTCATCTCCAAAACGACGTCACTTTGTCCATATTATCACAATGATAAAAAGATCTATCCACATCATAACGTTAAAATTTAAGGTCCAGTAGTCTAATTGAAATTAAAACCAAGTTAAAGGCTATAGTTGAAGAAATTAAAAATCCAACAGCATAAATGATAGTCAATCCAAAATTCAATATATCTAATGTAGTTTACTTAATAAAAAAATTATAAATAATAATAGTTTAAATGGAATATTTAGGTTTTTCCCAATAACGATGGGATTATAAAGTTTTAGTGTTTAATGAAAAAGTTTTGTGAAGTATGTGTACATCTTTTACTTAACTTTAAATAAATTAAAGGGTAAACTATATCATTGACCACCCAACTATAGTCTATTTTTATTTTGGCCATAATTTTTGAATTTTTGTCAATCGAGTCATCCAACTATTTAAATGCATTCAATCAAACTACTTGTCATTAACAATTAACGAAAGTATTGATGTGGCAGTTAGTAAAATTGTTACAATTACATATTTGGTCACTCTTAATTATATATTCTATCAATTTAGTCCTAATTTTAATAAATTAAAATAAAATTAAAGCACAAAGATGGAGGTGTGAGAATCGAGTCCAGATCACTTGGGTGAGATGAAGGAAGATTAACCACTCATTCAAGCTAATTGTTTTATTCAAAGTAGACTACATGAAATATATATCTTATATCTTAGGAAAAAAATTAAAGCTAATTGTTTGGAATTGAACCCAAGCTAACATTGAAAAATAAATTTATTTTTATCTTAAATTCATATATTAAATTTAATTCATATCTTAACATTAAAAAATATATTTTTATTAAAATATATTTAAATATATTTTATCTTAACATTATAAAATAAAAATATATTTTAAATATATGAATTTAAGATAAAATATATATTTTTTAATGTTAAGATGTGAATTGAATTTAATATATGAATTTAAGATAAAAATAAATTTATTTTTCAATGTTACCTTTAATATTCTTGGCCTAAGTTATAGATATATATTTCATGTAGTAGACTTTGAACCATAAATTAGCTTGGTTGAGTGGTTGATATCTCATCTAAGTGACTTGGGTTCGACTAACATGTCCCCATGTTTGTACTTTAATTTTTTGTCCACCTCGCCCTTTGATTGATAGAAAATAAATATATTAAATTAAAATAAATTTAATCATCAAATTGTGGTGACACATGGCATCATCCCATTGGAAGATAAATTTTATTTTAATTTATTAAAAATTAGGATCAAATTGGTAGAATATATAATTAAGAGTGACCAAATATGTAATTATACTAATTTTACTAACTGTCATATCAACACTTTCGTTAACCGTTAATGACAAGTGGCCTGATTGAAAGTATTTAAATAATTGGGTGACCAAATTGAAAAACAAATTCAAAAATGATGGTCAAAATGAAAAGAGACTATAGTTGGGTGGTCACTGGTACAATTTACCCTAAATTAAATTTGTTAAAATATTTTATAATAAAAGTAATAAAACTAAATTCATTATTGCCACAAAAGTAATAAAACTAAATTCATTATTGCCACTTAAATTATGCTTCTTGTATTAAGTTGTTTTTTAAAGTATTTTTCGAGATATTTTGTTTTTTTATGTTTAAATCGTTATTTCATTTGTCTCAAATTATCGACTCCGTTAAAAAAATAAAAGTAAATTACATATTTAGTCATTCAACTATTCTCATAGTTTCGTTTTGATTATTTAACTATTCTTTTTAAAAATTATCACCAAACTTAAGTTTTTGTTTCGTTTTAGTCCCAAACCGTCAACTCCTTTAAAAAATTAAAATAAACTATATATTTTCTTTTAAAATTACATAACATATTTGAAATATAAGATTACACGAATTATATATTAAAAATGAAATTGGCGATTATACATTAAATCCAAAAATTTAATAGTTAAGTTAATAAATTTTAATATACTCAAATTATGCATAATTTTATTTTATTGACATACGCATCTAAGGTAAATTAAACTCTAACCCCAATGTTCAAATTATTTTTATTTTTTTATAAATTAATCTTCAAAATAATTTAATAATGTAATAATCCGGAAAAAATGAAAAACAAAATTAATTTAGTAAACTGGTGAAATTTGGGACTAAATTGAAAGTTTTCAAAACTTGTAGCTTGTTTTAGAGTTGAAGAAAATTTAGAGACTAATCCCTTAATTTACCCAAATAGTGTCAGCAGGTTTTTGGGTTTATATACGTGCAATTGGTTTATGTAAAACAGAAACCAATTGCTCATAATTTGCCTTCCCCAACGCCAACTTCCAAACCCGATTTTGACGTCGTCCGAATTTCGATCGTCGTTTTGAAACCACCATCATGTTCGTTATCGATGAGGAACAAACCCCTTAAATTAATTGAAGTGAAACGCTACCAAATGCTGTGAATTTCAAGTCAAAGTCTCGACGTTTTTTTAGTATCACCGCCGAGAAAATCTTAAATTCATCGCCGATCGTTACTCTGTTTTCGACATCTCCCACACCATCGTGTTCCTTATGTCGTTCCAAGCCCACCAGTGTCCTTCTTGTCTCCATCGCGACGCGCGTGAGGAGTCAAAGTTTCCGATTTGTTGAAATCGAACTCTCTACCGTTCAAAATTTTGAACCGAGCTTTGTAAGTGCCTTAAAATCGCTTAAAATTATTTTTAGGAATTTTTCCGTGATTTTTAGGACGATGGAGAAGGTCCACGCGCCCCCACGCGTCGCCACTACGCGTGGGGAAGTCTTGACGAGCTTAAAACCGGTTTGACCGATCTGAACCGGGTTGACCGGTCATAACCGATCTGACCTGACCCGACTCGACCGTTGACTTGACCCGACCGTTGACCGTTGATCGAGTGTTAGTTTTGTAAATATTGTTAAAAGGGTGTTAGTTTTGTAATTAATTCCTATTAGGGTGATAATTGTGTAAAATGGTGATTTTCTGTTGACCTCATGTGACCAGAACTTTGACTGACTTTGACCGGCCATTAAACGGCCGTTGACCTTTTCTGAGTATACATATCCTAACATTTTTCGACGTCTCGAATCTATTTTTGGGGTATGTTCTGCCAAATTCAAACCCAAAAGTCTCCAAATCGTCAGTCAAACCCAAAAGTCTCCAAATCGTCAGTCAAACCCATTGACTTTGACTTTGACCAAGAATTTAAATTTTTGGAAGGTCATATTTTATGTTTTTCGACGTTCTAAATCTGATTCCGAAGTCCGTTTTGCCAAATTCTAACCCGAAATTCCCGAATCGAGCTTGTGAACCCAAAAGCGCTCAGTATTTTAGTATTTTGATTATTTATTTGAGATTTGGTTAAAAACTGATTCAGTAAAATATTTTATGAAGTACTCGTGTTTCACCTGAGAGGGGATCAGTTAGGTCCAGTGTTGTCTGTTAGTCAGATCAGCCCGAATCGCGTACTACGAGAACTACCCGTAGGTTTCGTAAGTTATTTTAATAAAGGTTAAGATTATTTATATTATGATTCCAACATGGATTTTTCCAATTCGTAGGATCTAGCGCTGCAGCAGAGTGATTGACAGACCTAGTAGTAGGCTTCCCTATCTGATTTCTCAGACTGTTACAGGTGTGTTTCCTGACAGTGTTACATTACTGTTTTAAAATATTCATCTGAATACTGAGTATTTGATATATGATTTACCGCATATTCCGATATAATTTCTGGATTAAGGTATTTTTATACCGATTTCTTAAATCTGATTATCTGACATCTGAATTACCATATATTACTGATTTGAATTTTGATTCTCGTATATCTGCATATGGTTTCCAAGAATTAAACATTTTTATGTTTTAAGTGATTAATCATTGTTTTCACTCGAATACATTCATGTTTAATATTATCATTAGGGGGTATTGTTGGAGGAAGATTATCTACAGACTCCTCGGCTTTGTGCTCAGGGTCTAAATGGCATGTGCGGTTGGGTGTATGGTTCTGGGGAACCTACACATTTATGATGTGAACGGATGGGGGTAGTGTTCACGTTTAAAAATAAAAACACGTTGCATAAACCGATTTTATTGAAAGAATTTATATGTATGTTATTTTTTTATATATATTGTATGGAGCACACTGGGCTTTTTAGCTCATTCTGTAAATTTTACCCTTTTCAGATAACAACAGACCGTAAGTTAGAAGATTTGGCATCATGGGAGATCAACTACTTTTTGTGTACGAACGTATTTCTCTTTATGTTTTCCAGTTGTATTTGGTGACATGCAATTTGCTATCGTTTTAGATATATTTATATTATCGATATTTTGTTTCGTATTACCTCTAATGGTTATAAGTTGTTTTTAAATATAAAAAAAATCTTTGAATGAGATATGTGACCACTTAGGTTTGGGTCTAGCGTACAGACTGGGTATGGGAGGTTGCTGTTGAAAACATTTTGATATTTCGATATAACAAAATAAGTTAAATGAATTT